AAAAATATTTATTAAAACAATATTCATTGTTTATTAAAGATATTTCTATCTGTCTTGTTTATTGAAGGTGGCTGGACAAACTGGGGCTTGCTGCCGAGCTTGGTTTAGATGTCGTCATCAGACAAGTGTTAATTGGTTCTGGCACGTACCATTTAGTGGATGATAACCTAGATCCTCTTCCAGTAAGTGTTTTTTTATGTGTTTGATCTTTGTTGCATAACTTCTGTATCGGTCCAGGAATGTGGACCAGTCAATTAGCCTAGTTTTTTTCTTTCTTTACATTAAATTTTGTATTATGGCAGGATTACTGGCTATCATTGCTATACAAAAAGCTTGTTGGTCCAGAGGTCTTAAAAGCACAAGTTCTTATGAATTCAGGACCAAAGAAACCAATACGGCTTTACCTTCACTGCACTAACAGAAAAAGGTACTTGTATTCTCGTTCACAGTGATTTATTTTCTAAAGAAGTTAACTTTTGAAAGGTTACGATTTTTTACATATGGTGTCTTTTTCTTTTTCAGCACACATTATAGACCAGGTGCTGTGACCTTATTTGCCTTAAACCTAAACAAAAATGAAGTCACGATTAGTCTGCCTGCGCACACAGCCAACAGCACCATTGAAGCATTTGTGCTACAGTCAGCTGAGACTGGCGAACAGAGTCTTTATTCCAGGTAATGTCTCATGATCTCACAATGTTTGGACTGTACAATGCAATCATGTTACACTACCCTTTACTATACATTTATTGCCTGATATTATTAGAAAGACTACACAGAATAGTCAACTTTTCTATAAATGTTCACCTAAAATGGAAGCCATTCAACAAATTATGCATCAACTATAGTAGTAACAACCTTGAGACCGTTAAATCCAACTTTTTGTCCGTTTTGTAGGTCAGTCGAATTGAATGGACAAGTGCTGAGGATGGTGGATGACCGAACACTTCCTCCGCTGAAGGGACGTGAGCTGCCGCCTGGAGAACGCCTCAAGCTGCCTGGGTTCTCATTTGCATTCTATGTTCTGATTGAAGCACAAGCTCCGGTATGCAAATGAGCTCTCATAAAGACTGCTTTCACTGGAGAATCAGGGACACAAAATGTGTGGTGACAAAATATTTTGCTGTGACACTATTTTATGTGAGGGAACTTCAAACTTGAATGAAATTAATCAGTGTCGTAAAACTTTTTATTATTTATGAAAAAAAAAAATCATATTTATTACAAATATCAAGCTGTAGCCAAAAATAACTTGTTTAATACTTCATGAACAACATGCACTGGGTTTAATCTATTTTACATCTGTTGAAATAAACTGATTTTAATCAAAGTGCTCATTTGTCAGGACATTTTGTTTGACAAGTTGAAGTGATCCATTATTTTCCATGCAGACATGCAGCCCTCTGCGCTTATAGCAATCAAACCTTTTGATTCTTAGTCATTTTCTGTCTGTGTGATTCACATCTGCGTGTGTGTTCAGCTAAATTTAGACATATATGATAAAATGATCGAGACATTTAAGAATCCTCTCAAAGAGTAGACATAAGAGGTCTCATTGCACTTGGTTCTCTCTGTGCATGATGATTGTAGCAGAGAGTCTGTATTAGACAAAAAATGAAACATCTGGGATATCTTAAGTGAGAACACAGCTGGTATAAATACAGATAAATATTTCTTGACTGGCTGCTTGTGTAATCTGAAAAAAAAGTTTGATTTATTTTAATGCAGAGGAGGATTGAAGTTTTATTTAATCATTTAACATGAACATTTCAACTGATTGAAAAAGCATGGAAAAGGCATTATAACCTCATCTAAAATAAACCACCAGCATATAGATTGTTCTCAAAAGGAAAGCTGTTTTTGTAAAGTAATGACTGCAGTTTTATTTAACCAGCCACCTGTTAATAATAGGAAATTATTGAACATTTTATTTGCTCAATGCCTAAAATTTGGGTTTTTAACTAAGTGGACGAAACCCTGCAGTGAGGTGTTTTTCCCACCGGGCTGCGATGTTTACCACTGTTGAGAGGCTGAATCGGACAGGAATCATTTTGGAAGCCATGTTACATAATGTATGAATGTAGACCACAGACCTTTAAGACCACAAGCTTTATTCATTGTTGGTGATTTTCAGTATTGGGAGGTTTTAGTTTGGGATAAATACTTCACCTTTTATTTGGCATATCCTTTTGCCCCAAAGTTTGAAGAGGTTAATTACAAAATCCTATAAATAAGGAAGGTTATTATTATTATTTTTTAAATGCTTTGGTAAATCACAATTATTACATAAAATGTTGAAATTTAGAGATTGACAAATTGACCATTTTTTGTATCTCATAATTTTGACTTTCTATTATAAATTTGACTGTCAATGTTTTTGTCAATGTTGACTTTTTGTGTCATAATTGTGACTTATTTTGATTCATAATTTCAATATTAATATAATTTAATAGGCTATAAATGTGTCTATGTCATAATTATGACTCTCTCATAATATTTTATCTCTGAATTTTTACTTGTCATACTTGTATTCTCTCCTAATTTTGGGTTATGTCATAACTATGACATTCTATCTAATAATGTTTACTCATAATTTCATTTTTATGTCATTTATGACCCATAATTTTGATGTTTTATCTCATACCGTTGAATTTTTGTCATAATTAGTTTTGTTATAATTTTTACACTTAATTTTAATTATGACTTTCTATCTCAGAATTTTGACTCACAATTACTATTATCATAATTTGTTTTTGTTATAAATTTTTTTTTTTACCCTTTTTATTCCATAATTATGATGTTTCATCTCCTAACTTTGACTTTTTATGTTATAATTATGACTTGGTATCTAATAATGTCATAATTTTTAGCAAAGATTTTACTTAATGCACATAATTGGCTGGTGAATATGTTTCATAAGATTTTTTTCTATTACTTGTTCAATTCTTAAATAATATGCAATCAATCTGTACCACTTTCTAAGCACATTTTACTGAAAATCACGGTTTGCATGGCTCTCTCATGAATGAGCGCAGTAAGCCCTGCGGTGTCTGTGCTAAGTTGAGCATGGCAGATGTTGAAGGAGTCGTTGTTTGCAGTGGCCCTTGATAATACGCACTTGTGTGCGACGAGGAGAGCAGTCTCTGGCAACCTCTGCCAATCACACATCTTCTCCATCTCCCATGAGAAATCCTACGGCCAATGAACACAAGCCCTCACTCCAGCAGTGTGCTGTGTCCACAGAGCCCTCTCAGCTTCATTAAGAGGCGCCGTCTGGAAACATGAGGGGATTTAGGCAGCAGAGATTTAGGCTACCCCTTTGGGCAACCCTGACTGAAGTATTTCTATACACACATATATGACATGTTCATTTTCTCCTGTTTTTTTTTTGTTTTTTTGTTTTAATAATCATGCTATCACACTTTTTATTCTTTCACAAAACTATTTTTTCACTGAAAGACTATCAATATAATAAAATAGGAAGTGATTAATCTAATAATTTCAGTCTTCTAAAAGCATAATAAAAAAAAAGAAACATTAAGATTAAAAATCAAATCTGTAAATGTGGTAATAAATCATAAACATACTTAATATAATACGTGACACATAAACTTTGAGACGATGCCAACCCCTCAGAGGACCTCAGATGATGCCAACCCTGAAACAACATACAGAACTACCACATTTTGCTAAGTTTGATTGCATCATATAATAATTGCTGTTAATAGTGTTCATCGTCTGTTTGATTACGTCTTTAATTGATTTTTCCGTACATTTCTGCCATATGTTTATTAACTGACAGTCACCACTGATAAGCTACCACTAAATATTGTAGAAACTTAATTTGCTGTAAAGTTGCTTTGCAACGATTTGTATCGTGAAAAGCGCTATACAAATAAACTTGAACTTTGGCCGCTGTAAATACTTTTCTCTCAAATTGTTTGTTGACCCCCTTGAGGGTTCAATAATCTGAAAACGTTCTGATTGACATTTTTTTTTTCTTTTTAATTTTTCTTCTAAGATTTTCTTTTTTTTCAACAAGGTGTCAGAGTTGGTGCTCCTCCACTTCAAGATTATTGTGTGATGCTGGGTCATTGATTTTTCAGCACTCAATAAAAATATTTTATTGAACGTGTTTTAGCCTCTCTAAAACCTGCTGCCATTCTTTGCCTACGGCTATACGTTTCGGAGTCCAGGGGTTTGACAAAAATATAATTTTAAGTTTATAAGTTTGCCTAAATGTTTCACTGAGGTAAAAATCAAATGTAATGTACAAAATGAATCTGTACATCTGTGATTGAAAAAAACATTCTAATGGTTTTGCAACGTAAGCATCATTAAATATGTAAATACTGTAGCCTATGTATTAACTAATACGGCAACATTCACATGCCATTATAGGACACGCTGAATTTTATGCACTATACAACATGAATCCTTTGCCTGCTAAAAGTTAAACATCTTTGCTGGTCTAAACTAAAGCAAAAACCCATAGTAAATGTTCATTCACACATAAAGGCGGAGAAAGCTCACTAGCGCCTCCCACACACGGCTCAATAATCGCCAGCCGACCCGTCACTCCCCTCTTTACTTGAGGAAACCCCAAGGTAAACTTTGGGAAGACAGCTGAAAAGTTTTTAGCGACTGAATGTAGTCGTTTAATACAATAATCGCTGTAAAATGAACGACATGACATCTGAAGCAACACGGGGAATGAAGTCTTCGCTTTGACGTGCAACGCAAAGTACAAATGGACAGGACGCGGAGGTTCATTTTGGGAATACTAGGTACTATCCACCATTGTTGGTTTATTCAACGCCTTTCGCTGGGTTTTGTTCGTTTGCAACAGCTATAGCACGTTTTACGACACTGCAGATTGTAGAAGTACCCGTTTGCCAACTTGTCCTTCTTTGAATAGTTCTTTATTCACTTGTATTTATGAATGTGTTCGTGACATCAGCAGCGGGTGCGTCTTCGCTTTAGTTGAGTGTCTGTCTTCTTTTATAGTAGGCCTAATATGAAAGTTTCTATTTTTAGCACTGAAAGCCAGTTTAGCACATTAGAAGACATTCTTTGGTTAATCATGAAGGGAGGGATTTCAAAGTGTAACCACAATCAAAAGGCCTGTATAATCCAGTATAACATTTGCCTGAAATGTTGCAAAGCAATCTAATGCCAGAGTTGTGGGGACATGCATGGTGCCACCTGTGATTTGTTTGTTGTCTGCCCTCAGCTGTTGTCCTATGCAAATACTCCCAAGCTGAATGGAATACCACAAAGACACCAGCGAATAGGACTGTGTCCTGCGATCACCATGACAACTGCACAGGTAAAAACCATTGGCACCCCTAGTGAAATGAGCAAACCAAGCCTTCGATATTTTCCATATGATTCGCCCTCACCTCATGCAGAAAGCATATTTTGAAGCTGCGTTGAGGTTCGACTACCACTAACTTTGAAGATGTGAGATGTAACACTGTGTTTGCCCCCATTGTGTTGTTAAAAAATGGGCTTCCCCTGGGCAAGACATGAAAGTCTTGAAAGCCTGACCACCTGCTGAAGAGATAAATAGGATATTAATTTAAAAAAAAATGTTATGGCATGAAAAACTTTCACTGGTGTTACTTCTAATTCTGCCAAATGCATTTGCTTAACATGAGGCGTATTCTAATCTGTTCACTGAGGAAAATCAGGCTGTTATGATAATAACCCTGCTTCTTAGTCCATTTTAAGCCTTGTAATTTTATTTAAGAAGCGATAACGCTCCCAAGCTCAAGTTTAGCATCTCTGTATAGCAGGTAATCCTCTCTGACTGAACTCGGATCATGTTACATGTGGCCAGAGGTGGTAATTAGATCCTTTTCCATTCAACTTTTAGTTCATTCTGAAGTCAAAGCTCAAATTTCAGTGTTTGTAGACTGGTCTCTTTTCTTCCTCAATCCTTTGAACTGAGTTTGGCCTTTACACTTGGCTTGTATAATGACATGGATAATAGTGTAAATGAGTAAACGGACAACCATGGTTACGTTACTATGTATTTTATAGATAATATGTTAATTATTTGAGTTATATTAGTTAGGTTATATTGTTAGTTATATAATTTTTTAAAAGTATTATATAGATGGATATTGGATATTTATTGTGTATGTTAATTTTACCCTTATTTATTACATTTAGATCACATTTGCCGTTAGCTAACATTAATATAAAGTGTGTCTTTAAAAACACAAACAGCTTAATAACTCTATTAGATGTAATCTTTTACAAATTTTAATATTGCTGTATAATTTTCATGTTGTACATTATAGTATTGTGATGGCTAAATTCACGTAAAGCATTTATATTGGTGTTTTTTTGTGTGTGTGAATCCCTACTGCATTTTACTTAAAGGGGTCATATGATGCTGCTAAAAAGAACATTATTTTGTGTATTTGGTGTAATGAAATGTTTATGCAGTTTAAGGTGAAAAAAACACATTATTTTCCACATACTGTACATTATTGTTTCTCCTCTATGCCCCGCCTTTCTGAAACGCGTCGATTTTTACAAAGCTCATCGGTCTGAAAAGCGAGGTGTGCTCTGATTGGCCAACGAAACACAGCGCCTTCACGACATGGCGGCGGTGGCAACAGAAATACTACAGCGAGAATAAAAGTTACGCCGCCTTTCTTTGCGAGAACATTTGGGCGGCATTATGCAAATCTTCCCACATAGTGAGGTAGATATGTGGGGGAGTGTTAGAACGAGCCGTTTTAGGAGGGTGCGGTTGAATCTTAACTTTTATAAAGAATATCTCTTTGGATTTGAGACTTTAGTCTTTGCAACTTTACAGATCTTCTTTATGCACCAAGAGCTTGTAACACTCCAAAGAGAAAGGAAAAATTGAAATCGCATCATATGACCCCTTTAAGTTTTATGACTAAATACACTAATTTTCAACAAGGATGCATTAAATTGATTGACAGTAAAGTCTTTCTATTCATCAAAGAGTTCTTAGGAAAATCAGCTTCTACAAAATATTAATTCAGTATTTTCAGTATTCAAAATATATTCAACATTGGTAATAATAAGAAATGTTTCTTGAGTAGCAAATCAGTATATAAGAATTATTTCTGAAGGATCATGTAACTCTGAGGACTGGAGTAATGGCTGCTGAAAATTCAGCTTTGCCATCACCAGAATAAATAACATTTGAAAATATATGAAAATACAGTAGAAAACAGTTATTTTGAATTGTTATAATATTTCACACTATTACTGTTTTTACCATTTTTAATTAAATAAATGCCACCTTGATGAGCATAGGAGACTTTCAGAAACATTAAAATATCTTATAGACCCTAAACTTGTGAATGGTACTGTTTATGTTTAATGTTGATATGTAGCCCTGCTTTAAATCTGTGCAGATTCAAATGATGACCACATATGGAGTGGACACTTCTCCAAATGTCCAAAAGAATACAAGCATTACTGTATCCATGGTGTTTGCCGTTTTGTAAAGGCGCAAAACACTCCTTCATGCAGGTGAGACTTTGACCTGTCCATCACTCAACCAATCAGGGCTCAAGAATCTTGAATAATTAGTTTGTTTTTGTACAGATGTGAAACGGGATATATTGGCACTCGGTGTGAATATCGTGATCTTGATCTCCGTGTTGAAGAACGAAAGAAAATAGTCATCGCATGTGTGGTGGCAGGATTGGTCTTTCTGATTCTGCTCATCGTATTCATATGCGTCTGTACACAGTGAGTAATGCGATACATTATTTAATATTTTCATAGTCAAGCCTAGAAGAGTCAGTCTTCAGTGTTTTTTTAACCTTCAATGTCTTTCTTTTGCCCATTTTCCTATCTTGTTTCACAGCAAACGATATAAACCATGTAGAAAAAAGAAGAGAAAAAATGAAACAAGTGACGAAGATGAGAAGCTCAGTTCACTAAACACACATGAAGCTTTAACTGCTCCAGTCGACACATCCGACACAAATGCTGTATGAAGTGAGTCTGTTTATTTCTTCTCTTGCATCATTCAGTTTATATTAACCATGTGGTGCATTAAGGCCACTTACTGTTCAGATCATGTAAACCAACAGCTCTCAAATGGTTCAGGACTTACATTGGATATCAAGTGGCAAACCAATGCACTACCATATTGTTTATCATATACAAAATATCCTTGAAAATGTCTATTTCTATGATTTCATGCAATCTGCAAATAATAATTTACTGCATAAAATGCACTGTGGTCAGTACAAACCATGTTTATGTTTGTAACAAGTGAACTCGTATTTAATTAAGTATGAGTCATATTTTCTGTTATCTTGCCTTGTTTTGTGCATGGTTTTTGAGGATGTCTACGAATATTGGCATCTGAAGAAATTGGCCAGCCTCTATTAAAGGGATAGTACATCCAAAAATAAAAATACTGCTATCCCTCATGCTGTTCCAGATCTTTCTTCTGTGGAACACAACAGATGATAGTCTGAGAAATGTCTTTGTTTTTTGGTCTATATAATGGAAGTCGATGGTCACCAAAAGGGTTTGGTTACCAACCTTCTTCAAAATATCGATCTAAAACTATGCTTTTTAGTGATGGTTCAATCTGCACAAAATATCATGAAATTTGATTGGGCGTGAAGTCCAGAACAAGGGATTTTTTTCCCTCTTTTTTATTATTATTATTATTATTATTATTTATTTTATTTAATTTTTTTACTGCTGACCCATCGCCACATCCTTTTGTATTAAACAAAATATCCATCTTATACATTATCAAATTAAATATTTGCTCCAATCCAATTAGAAAGTGATCCGCACTCAAGCTCTATAAAACTGAATGGCAGTCTTTCCACACCATACAAGGTCAGCACCTGTCAGCATTTTAGAAGTACACAGACAGCAGGCTCTATAAGGGAAAGTATGGAAATAATCAGCAAAATGTCTGTTTGACGTGTGTGGCTATTGTGACGCTGTTCAGACTTTGGTTGCCAGGCAGTCAGATCAACTTTTAGCTCAAATAGATGGGTCTAATGATCTCTTTCTTTCAGTGAAACAGTGAAGTGATCCTGCCAGGGTTGGTAATGGCGTGATTGTGGTGTGGAAATGAGGACTCGTCCCGCCGAGTGATGAAAGCGGTGCTTTACAGTAATCCTGAGTGGACTTTAAATGAACTTTGAAGATATGGTGTGATAGGCAACCTTTGCCATTTTCTGTGCTACTGTTTACCTCATTCTTCATGCCACAACTCATTTTCACACTTTTCAAAAGAAAAGTTGGAGATGAACTGAATGTATATGCCTTCAGAATGGCTGTAATGAATAGGTGAATTGAATAGGTGGCGTGCAATATGCTGAATGCAAACAAAGCCAATTTATATTGGTTTAATTATAAGCCTATTTATATTGCATATGATGCACAGAATATTAAAAAGGTTACCATATATTAGGTTTGATCGATGCTAAGATATTAAGTTAAATTGTTATATTGACAGTTTCAACGGTTTCTGGAAGCAGTTCTCCCGACATTAACGGACCAAAAATTTTTCTTAACTTTGATTTATTTATTAACATGTACATCGAAAATGTTTTGGGTTTGTTTGGTGTTAAAAGAGTATATTTTAAATGATGAAATTACCATTAATGTGTAGTTTTTGTCTTTGAGTTTTTTTTTGAGAGAGAGAAGTATTAGCCATAATAAATAAAATGTTTTGAAATCATGTGTTTGGTTAAAAAATATTAAGTGAACAACCATTTTTATTTTTTTTTAGATGAAAAAGAGAAAACTTTTATGTATTTTTGTGAGGTACATTTTTGGAAATATTTGATAATGACAAACTTTATTGATAAAGTTAGAAGTTAGTTGCACATACTTTTCAGAT